CGTCGTCGTCGTCGTCGTCGTCGTCGTCGTCGTCGTCGTCGTCGTCGTCGTCGTCGTCGTCGTCGTCGTCGTCGTCGTCGTCGTCGTAGGTGGGCCCGCACCAAAGGTCACTCCAGCGAAAGGTCACTGACGTCGAGCCGATGCTCGAAGGACGGCGCTTCGGCGGTGGGCGAGGGCCGGCTGAGCAGGGGGCCGAAGTGATCACCAGGATGAGCTCGAACTCCTGCGGCGTGGGGCGGGCGGGGTGCTGCGGGGCGCCCGCCCACGCGGGGGGCGCGCAGGGGCCCGGCGGGGGAGAGGGGGAGGGGGGATACCGCCTACCCCTCCTGCTCCACGTCCCCCTCCTCCTCCTCCTCCTCCTCCTCCTCCTCCTCCTCCTCCTCCTGCTCCTGCTGCTCCTCCTCCTGCTTCTCCTCCTGCTTCTCCTCCAGCTCACCGAACTGGCTGCTGCTGCTGGTCCTCCTCCTCCTCCTCCTTCTCCTCCTCCTCCTCCTCCTCCTAATCCTCCTCTTCCTCCTCCTCCTCCTCCTCCTCCTCCTCATCATCAGCATCATCATCATTAGCAGCAGCATCAGCATCAGCATCAGCATCAGCATCAGCATCATCATCACCATCATCATAAGCAGCAGCAGCATCATCATCGGCATCAGGATCAGCATCATCAGTTTCATCATCATCACCATCATCAACACCATCAGCACCTGCACCATAATCAGAATCATCATAATCGTCTCCACCATTACCACCATCATCACCATCATCACCAACACCTCCGTCGACATCAGCATCATCATCATCAGCAGCATCCTCATTAACAGCAGCAGCGGCGGCAGCAGCAGCATCAACATCATCATCAGCATCAGCATCCGCACCATCATCATTATCATCATCATCATCATCATCATCACCACCACCATCATTCATCGTCACTCATTAGCATCATCGTCAGTCTCCTCATCATCCTCTTCATAAGCATCGCCACCATCACCATCATCACCACCATCAGCATCATCACCAACTCTACCATTAACAACATCAGCAGCATCATTGGCATCACCATCAGCATCATCAGCAGCAGCATTACCATCATCATAATCGTCGGCATCATCGTCATCATTATCGGCTTGTCTCCCTCTTCCTGAATCATCCTCCTCTTTATCTCCTCCTCCACCTCCAATGGACACAGCTCCCCTGTTCCGATTGCGCAAGACACAATAATGTCCTTGTGAGGGTGACAGGTCCGCTACGACACCTGTCGGCGAATGGAGAATGAAGCAGTGCAATGGGTGGCAATGGTAGGATGTCAGCTGTGGCGCTAGCACGCCAAAGGCCTAGCTTGTCCCTCCCTTTCTCCTCCCTCCCGTCACCTGCTCCTCCTCTTCATCCTCCTCTTCGTCGTCCCTCCTCCTCCTTCCTGCCAGTAAGCAGGAAGATGTTCGGCTTCGTCGGTGGCGCCGTTCCCATCCCCACTGATCCACACTCTCTCTCCGTCCTTCTCCCGCTCCCCCCATCTAACTCCTCATCCTCCTCATCCGCCTTTTCCTCCCATCTAACTCACTCCTCCTCCTCCTCCTCCTCCTCCTTCATCCCTTTTCCTCGTAGATCGCTCCTCCCTGTCGTTAGGGCGGGCCGGGCGTTTCGCCTAAGACTTGGAGAACGCGTGTGATGTTGAAGCGTAACATTTGCAACAGCTTCGCGGATGGAGGCCGGGCCGCTTTCAAAAAGCGGCTCTCGCCTTTGCGCCGCGCGCATTCGTCCTTAAAAGCATTCAAGAGCTCCTCGGACGGAGGGCGCGTCGTTTTCAAGATTTGGCTCTCGCTCTCGCGCCGCGGACACTCATGCTAAACAGCTCGCAGCAGCTTCACGAATGTAGGGCCGGCAATGTTCATAACGTGCCCCTCCCCGATCTCGCCTCAGCGCCGTGCAAACTCGTCGTAAAGTTCGCGAGA